TAAATTCCCCCGCGAACAAGAATCGGAATGAGCAACTTATCCTTTAGAAACCGCGTACTTCACCCTTAATCTCAACTTTATAACTTCATTTTGCATTATCCTAGCTTCCAGTGAGTATGTTTGTAATTTACACTACTTCATATCAACGTCGTTGTCTGCTGTCTGGATTTTAACCGCTTTCCTAGATAAAACAACCATACCCAAGCTATCCACCTATCTAGTACTCGATATTCATAGGTCAGTGACTTTCGCCAAGGTTGTGAACATTCACTTCTCAAAAACAAATCTCTGCATGGTCCCAGTAATTAAATTTTAGATTAAAGCTGTTAGCCATCCACTTTCTTCACGCGTGGGTGTTTCCATCACAAGTTTAAGGGATTCTTCTGCAATTGATGGTGACTAGACGTGCACGTTCTTAACAACGCAACCACACCCTTTGAATGTTGAAATACTCATAAATATTCATAGAGTTTGTCCATGCCTTGAGAGCAATGAGTAAACGATGTCTGTTTTAAATTATACTTTGTAATTTGTAATTTAAACAAACAGTCTATTCCATCACGGCAGAAATGCTTGATGCAAAGGTAAACTACTTCCGCACTTGTATAGTATCGGCAACCAATAAAACAAGAAAAGTTTACATAATAAAGACTTCAAATGTTTCATATGGCATACAAATGTCTGCGTTGTTTGTCACAGTTGACTAAACGACAAATTTCTGATTTCCGTCCGTCGGTCGTCTGTTTGGCATTCATTATAAATTTATTGAACGGATGATTCGGCAACTATCGATCCGATTACTTCGAAATCAAGTGCAAATGACGTTTTAATGAATTATAGCGAACATGTTAAATCTAACCAAAATTGCTACGTGACGAAGTACAAATGTTAGAATTTAGTTGTGTAAATTTTATTTTTTAATTTACGTAAAGTCAGAGAAGGGTGGATTATAGTGATTATACCCATAGGTTGTTTCTGGAAGTAAACTTTAAATTAATACTGCACGATGTGCCACAATTATACACATCCACATGCCTAACTAAATTATTTCAAGAGAGTTTAGTGTATTAAACGTGAAAGTTTATACCCCAGAGTAACGCATTTCTGACGCGTAAGTTGAAACAAATAAATGGCTTGGACAGAGGTTTGTAACGAAATTCCATGGAAAGCAGAAATGCGAATAAAATCTCTTCAGAGGTTTGTAGGTAAGCCGAACAGTTTTCGTTTTATTAAGTCACTGATTACATGACCCACTTACACCTCATCCTTAAATTGTTCTTGACAGTTAAGGGCAAAGTTTAAATAGTTTAAACACAATAACAAATTATTGCCAAAATTAGAACAATTAAATTAACTTTGTATCACTACTTCTACTACAAAACCTATTAAGTGTCTAGTGTGAATCATTGGAGTTAGAATTGTAATTGATGTCGTCATGTAGCTTATTGATCTAATATTGGTGTTCGTCATTTTTCACGGTCCTTTAATTTGATGGAAAATTATGCTTACGGACGAATCTGGCAGCTATTAAACCCACGGAATTATGAAAATGTAATCAAAACTCTTTGGAAGCTGCACGTAAGCGGGGTATTGCGCATGCGGGAACATTTGGAGAAGTGAGATAAGACAATCTCCGATGTAGGATGTGTAATTAATTTAACCCGACTGATTATTATTATCAAGATGACGGGTTAAGTAATAGGGTGCTTACTTGATCTATATTGCAAGGATAAGCATCATGAAGCGTCTACCGAAGTTTTAGAAGCTGCAATGATCTGGTTGGAGTTAAGTGTGTGGCTTTTGAATCCATTTACAAAAGTAGAGGGCTAATTCCATACAAAGTAATTTCAGTATCCCGTTTTCTCTCTCTAATATTCTACATAGGAGTCTGCGACTATTTTTTTTATTAAAAAGATGTAAACATGATGGAGGTTTCGTGACTTCTAGAGTACGAATAGTAGGTCCTCTTTTTTCGTTTGTCGCCTGCTTGTCTGTCAAATTTTATAGTCCGGTCCAAATAACCTCTAATTTTTGTGACTAGAATCTACATTTTATGAAATTGTGAGTTGGTGTTTTCAGTGTTGGATATTGATATAAACAAAGTGCATATAGAACATACTATTCGCTGCCATTTTTTGCATACATGTAAATATTTCCTCTCTTTTTGGGATGGACGAATACACAAAAAATAACTAACCAAAGAACTATAGTCTATTCAAATTCTGTAAATAGTTAACTTATATCTAAGAAAGCTTTATATTAGAGAGTTTGCTATCCCACAAAAGTGGAAATGTATGTTATGTTTGGGACAATTTTTAGTCATCATTTCTTTGCTATTGAAAGAAAGGGATTTAGCCTTAGTGTGGATTAACGTAACGTAATGGAAAAGATGCGTCATACAAGTCCTTTGTGCTAAAATTCGATTATTATAAGCTCTTTGTAAACTGTTCTTCGTATATATGACGTCATTAAAGCAAGTTTTCATATTGAAAAAGAATCGGAAACTAAAACAAAACCTGTCGTCGTTTGATTGCATGAATTGGATGCAAGTTTTGAAAAAATCTAAAAATTAAAACTGTCTAATAAAATTGTATGGTTCTGTGTCACTGAGACCAAGAATGGATAAATAATCTTTCCACTAGGAATCTACCTCGATGATCCACAGAGGACACGTTTAAAATCTGCGTAAATTTCAGGGTTGTATGTATAGGGAAAATTGTTGGTCGTCAGAATAACTGGTGAAACAAAATTGTTAGTTTCATGATGTTGAATATCAACTATATGCGACCTATAGCTGTAAACATAAAATTTAATATACGTACTGTGTGTTATAAAATAAAGAAAATCCACCCCTGTTCACAATTTGCCGATCGCCAAGCTTCGACCGAGGGTTTGCAATTTATGGTTTTATGGATTGCGAGTTTAAGCTCTTTAATTTTTAGGTTGTAAATTTTTATAAGTGTACAAAAATAATATCCTTACCCGTTCCATCAATGTTATTATGTTATTTTCGGAATTAGAAATCTGTGCAAACTAAAACACATGAATGTTATTACGATCAATATTATAAGGAGGAGAAAATTTTACCCCTAAATCGTTTTGGAAAATGGTTTTATTAATCATCATCCCAGCCTCTCATAGTCATATTGAGTTGAGTTCAAGTTTGCAATACTCGTAAACTAGTCCATTGTTCGAATTCTTCCCTCATTTAAACCCTCTGATTAATAATGTGGTGTAGGGATTTACATTACTGGAATATGCTGGCATCAAGTATGTGGGTTAAATGGCCAAAATATTATTGCAGAGCATCTATAATACAATTTCACGACTTTAACGACTACTTGAAACCCACGCAGGTCCGGTGATATCGTTGAAGATATACTGTCCCAAGGAATTAATAATAATCCAGTAGTCTATGATCTCTTGCAGTGATTTTAGCACCTACACATCGAAAAGATGAACTATTTTTAGGAAGCGATTTTAATGTCGTCTTTGTATTGATTTAAACATTGTGTCAGACTTGAATAGGATTTTATATAAAATCTCTCTAGGATTAAGTTTCTTTTTATGCTGTTTGTTTTTATTTTAGTTCAATGGATTCGAGAATAATTTTTCTCCACGTTTCGTGATCCCTGAAGTACGAAAAATGGCTGTCATATTTCCGTTTGTCTGGCGTTTGTTGTCTGTCTGTCTGTCTGTCTGTCTGTCTGTTGTTGTCTCAGTCGATTGTTGTCAAATTTTAGATGAATATTATGTAGATGGTAAAACGCTAATTAAATTTTGTTTAACCATCTCTGCCAACAATTTAATGACATCACATCAAAATTTTGCGTAGTAAATACTATTTAAATTTTATAAATTAATTAATTACACTGTGACCAATGACGCACATATGTTAGGGATTAATTAATTAAAAACATTAACAACATCTTACTCATCAATACTTATGTATGTATCAATAACCACAGAATACCACCACAAGCAAGAAAATATTTCAAGGTGACATTCACCTGACAATTATAGTTTGTTTATATTTTTTAAAACGCTAGGCTTTGAGTTGTTTGTGGTTGTTTTTGACGGCTGTTAATATGAATAAACTATAAACATTAATATAAAATTAAATGTATTTCAACGTTATCATAGATATGAAAAATATTTTGCAATATTAATTTCATCTGCATAGTTACAAGAAATTGTCAAGTTATTTTTAATTGCATGCGATTTACTCACTTTCCTGTCAGTTTTGTGCATTGGTTTTTCTATGGCTACAAAATTTGACGATTTTTTCTTATTTCTGAGTATGTTGTAAAACTGACAAATAAATAAATAATTATTGAACAAGAAAGTAACCATTTATTGATAAGAATGCTTCAAACCATGATAAAATATATTAGAAGCATATTATTAAGTAGCCGCCCATGTTTACTCAGTTGTTTTCATTTCATTATACCTTCACGTTGAATATTCATAGAAAACCTTAATATCAGCACGCAAATCTTTTGTATTAATTTCAAACAAGTATAATGTGTTAATCGAAGGATTTTGTGGATTTTAATTAAAACTCCTGAGTTTAGAATATCTTAAAATGTTCAAAAATTGAATTTGAATAAATGATGTTAAGCAAATCCTAATTAATAAAAATTCTGAATTTAAAATCAAAGTAAAATTAATTCATAACTGAATCATTTCTCTGCATTCACTGAAAAAACTAATTCTTTCTATACCACTTTCGTTTACTTTTTCTACTACTCGAGCATTCACTTCAAACCATAACCAATTTCTCCCATTAGCTTGATGTCCTATAATTTTTTTGTGCTTTTATAATTTGAAAACTGGTTTTGGTTTTCTAGATTTTATTTCAGTTTAGTATGATTTGCAACTGACCAGATTTTCCTGTGTTGAAAATATGACCAAATGTCATTGTGAAAAATTATTCAGTTGAAAACGGAAATGCTGGAATATATGTCAACAAGGATAGGAGATTGGCAATAAAAGTAGTGTTTTAGGCCAATTGATATATTTAGTATTGACAGAATCATTTGAATGTTGTACCCTTTCACATAGAAACATATTTATATAGGATTCAAATCACTAACAACAATGTTAGATGGCGCTAAATCTGTGGTTATATCACTAGCACCACAGATGTCGCCGTAATAATGACATTACATCTATACATACATACATAATTACAATATAGTATTATATTATAGAAATACTTAAGATAATCTCAGACATGCATTCCCATTAAGGGTGTGGCTGGAAAAACCTTTAATGGGAGAGCAGCTGATTTGAAATCCAGCATAAACTACGAAACGTTTGTCGTTGACAGACATACGTATCCCCTTTCAGAGAAGTGCATGTTGTGTTTCGATAATTTGTGCTGAACTTCGTAGACTTTTTCGCACACAGAAAATCTTTCTTCTATTCGTAAAATGTCGTTGTCAAAAGATGTCGATGACAACGTTACCAAATCGAAAGTGAATAAAAAGAAGCCCAAAACTATGTAACGCTGTATACGAAAAGTATCAAAAATAACTGGAATTCGTTTATTTTTTTATTGTTTTAATTATTATCAACTTCGCAAAATAATCCTAGGGTTTAATCGATGTCTAAAAGTAATGAACGAAACCAAGAGGAACGTAAACCATACATATTCATATCCTTAAAACGCGCCAGTTGTCGATTTTTAGAAAAATTTCAAAACGGCGCCGCCAGACCTCTGCAGTTAATACAAAAATCAGTTCTTTCCAGAGGTAACGAAAGAAAAATAACCTATCCAGCGATCACCGTTTGAAATTTTTTTGAGTTTTTTGAGTTGATCTCGTCAGTGTTTAGCCCCACTTTTGGAACAGTCCCATTCGTTGACATCTGCAGTTGGATCCCCACAGATTGCATCTACACGAACTGTTGTAACAGCAATCGTTCGGTCGATGATCGCAGTTTCCGCCTCTTCGTACACAGGCTCGTCTGAAAAGGTAAATTAAGGAAGAACGTCTGGAAGGAAATTAGAAATCGCTTACAACCACATCAAACAGTTACATTTTCTACTCTAACATGTAACAACGACCTCTACAGGCTGCACACTGCTCTAAAACAAAGACTTAAAATCTGCACATATTTTATTTTTCGTTCAAGTTAAAAAAGCCAGTTCCCGGAGTTACTCGTTAATTATACGTGCAGATTTTAAAATACACTACTGCGTTTGAATGTAGTACTCGTGATGTGGTTACAAAGATTTTTCTAATTTTGTTCTATCAGCGAACTATGTTCAATGCAAATTAAAAAAAATTTGTCAAAGCAGAAACAGGTACATGCATCTATATTATTTGTTCTTTGTCATATACATTTTATGACCAATTTAGTATGCTGCAGGGATCAATTTTGGGGCCGCTTAGTTTTGTGCTATACATTAATGACATCACTGGTATTTTTTGTATAAAATTACGTGATGTGCTTACGTCGTTATAAGCAAATGGAACGTCATTTCATTTATACAAAGGTTAATAGAATGGCACATTCAATCTAGTTAATGTAGTACTGAAAAAAATAAATGTCTTTGTGATCTTGGATACTTTTTAAATAGTCATTCGTAAATCAAACCGAAACCATTTTAGCTTATATCTAGTAATATCTAGTACACATTTGTTGTACGGAGCTCCAAATAATTTCATAATGTGTCCACAATCGATATTATTTACTTCGCTTTCCTTCGTAGTAAACTGAAGTAGGCGTCTGTTATCTGATCCTAGTGTTTATTGTTCTAGAACAGAAAGATCGAAAAATGCTTTTTGAAGTTTGTTACTGCTAATGACGGTTCGTACTTTCTTGAAATTCTGTTCATAGTCTAGATTTGGAATTCGATGTCTGACGTTTTTTCGGATACTAAAATGTAAAGTCTTGCGAATAATCAGTGTCATTCCTTCGCTACTGCGTTTATTTCAAAGATATCCGAAGACCCTGAGGAACTGATCGCTTTAATGTAGTTGTTGGATCTAGTTACATCTTTCATTTCTCTTATTTAAATAAAGGAGGTGGTTGAATCAGTATTTGGAATATTTGATGTCCATTCCTTTACTTTGATCAACAGTTCAATTCCAATTTCAGTATGTCATGTGTCAGATGAACGTTAAAATTGGGTTTTAGCATAACGTAATCCTGTATATTACGAAGCAATCATCGGAACCAAACTTGGCTTCACTTTATTACTTCGAAGTAGCCTAAACCCCAAACTTCCGAACGGTAAAATAATCCATTAAGAAATATTGAAAGTTTAAGTGGGGTTTCGGGGGGTAGATTTATAAAGTAGGTGATTTAATTTGACTGACATTTGTCTTCTTGTATTTGGAAACAATATTCCTAGATAAACAAAATCCTCCCAAGGTCTACAGTCTCAAGTAAATAATGAATTCACATTTGATATTTTCCTTTGAAAACAACATTTTTTATTTTGAATCTGTTTCGGATTGTCGGTAAACATATATTAAAAAAAACTAAACCTTAAGCATTTCCGTGTTAATTCTTCGTCACTTTAATTTTAAATCTAGCACGTTCATGTAAAGACTTAAAATATTTTTTTTTAGAAGAAATCTGAGTCGTGCAAACTTTTACACAGTATTTCATGGTTAATCACATTAAAGCTCGTTTAAAATCAACGAAAGCTGAAAAGAGTTTGCCAGGTTTATCTCGCAGATGTAGCTAAATGAGAGATCGTAGAGGATAAACGTTATCAGTATAAAATGGATTTGGGACTCCGCTAAAATAAAATACACACCAGCCTATTCACACAGTTGTTCCCCAAAGAAAAAAGCAAACAATTTGAATCACATTTAGCAGGATCTTATGTATAGTAAGGAAAAATAGAGACTTATTAGAAAAGTCAAAATTTATTGTTGTTACTGTACTTATTTAACATTTTCTGTCTGAATTTTGCAGCTTTGTTCTTTGTATTACTCGGCGATATAATCAGTTCCAGTGTAAAGTGAAATTAAAGGGTTTTGCGAAACCTCCAGTCTCTTAATTAACTTCAGTTTCATTTGCGTGACCACACAAAATCAATGATGCTATTTTCTCGTAGAAACTGTCACTGTTCGAGATAATCTTTAGCAGATCTACCATTGGACAAACCAAAACCACTGGTGTGCATTAAACTCAATAAGTTTAAAAGCTTCAGCATTAGCAGTTAGTTCATTAAAGCCGGCTCTGTTTTTGAGCCCACTCGTCCCACATGGATCATCTATACAACATTTCCCGCCCCCACTACTTGGATACACAAAGGGTTTTTTGGGGAATCACAAAAGACTGCAAAAAAAAATGTTCAAAAATGAAAGCCGCCTCATTTAATTTGATTATGTTTGTTAACACTGAATAACATTCATGTTTTATCATATTTTACATCGTGAATGTCAAAGCACAACTGTGTGTTATTAGAAAGATGGAGAATTAGCAGGTTGAAAGATAGGGGAAATGTTGGAAATATTAGACAAATAATGGAGCACACCCCTACAATCTACAATATCCATAGGAGATTTAGTGCACCAAATGGAAATATCGTACGGAAATACTATACTTTGTAAATTTAGTACATCATTTTGATTACACTTGATGTTAAACATTTCAGCTTCAGTAAACTAAAGCTAAATAGTAAATTAAAGGTAAATAGTAAATTGAGTAATGCTGAAAAATTATAGCTTTGACCTATGACATATGTACATACATGTAATATAATCAATTAATCAGCAACATGAATAAAATCGTAATTTGAACTTAATTATGTACCCTTGAACGTGGGTGTTATAATTGAACATTCATAATAATTTAACATTTTGGGCCTATGTTCTTATAAAGCAGACGTTTATTCAATATTGAACATTCGTTATTATAAGTTCAAATATACTTAACAGAAAAAAATATTATTTAATATTAACTGTATTTTAATTGCTTAATAATGCCGCTTTATCTTGCTTGGAGTTTACTCTTTTAATAATGAAGTGATTCGGTTAAGACCAGAAATAAGCACCTTATTAATGTGTTTCCTGGCTTGATTTAATAAGTTGTTTTATACTCAGTACAGTTATAATCTGTTGTAATTCTAATTTTTGTTAATAGTGTATCAAACCAAGAATCCACTGAAACTTTAAGCGCTAAAAATTTATAAAAAATAATATTCATTTAAGAATGAAAAGTACATGTAATCCTTACTTTAAACGAGCCCGTTATTTTAAATCATAATAATTTTAAACATAGGACGAATAAGCTCACATAATCCTCGCCGCTCTAAAAATGCTCTACCTTGTTCCTTCAAGATAAATTTGTAACAAAACGTGGAGCTGCTGTCACAAAACCCTCCATTAAAAGGCTCATCTAGCTACCCCCATTAAACCACATTTCCGTCATTGTTGCATTTAAGAGTACCTAATTAAAAACTCCCTAGCTGACAAGGTTAATTAAATTCAGAAAGCTCCTGTATTGTACGTTAAAACACCAATTAAATCAGTACCCGGCATTTTCTTCACCATAAAGTATGTAACAGAATTAAACAGACTTCATGAAGTTTAATTACCGAGTTGTAAATGAAAAGTCAAAGGACAAGAAACGAATTTATGAAGCTGTCTAAGACAAAACAAGCATTTTACAGGTGGTAATTACACTCACTTCTGAGCCGATTGTAACAGACGATCGATGGCATTTTCTGTGTAGTCGTCGTCTGAAGGTAGCCCCTCATCTGAAACAAAATTCCAATGTAAGCAATTTCAAACTTAAACGATTTCGACGCGATTAGGAAACACTAACAATTTTAAGCAGCAACAACATTGTGCTTTGGTGGCTCAAACAATGTTTTTCCTGCCAATACAAATAATAATTTATATTTGCCCGCAAGCCGTAAGGGTACTATTATCCTACGATACACAAAGACAAACTTCTTAAAATGCTGTTTCAAGTCGGATGGAATCAATAACAACGTTATCTACATTCCGCATCGCCACACAGACGAAAGACCAAACAGAACGACGCGGCTTCCAAAGCATGTTTGTACACTTTTATATTAAAAAAGTCGTAATTGTTTTATGGAAGAACGTTCGAATGCGCAATTATGGTAATATGGGGACAAACTCTGACGAAATGAGCGCCGTACCCACATTAACGTAGGCAAATTTTGCATTATACGGATGGAAAATTAAGTTTTTTAATAGTGGAGTTTCACAACTCTGTCTTTTATGCTCCGCGAGGAAGCTTCAAGCTTGTTAAATTACTATTCAGACAAACTTTTCTCATTAATTTTTGTTTTTCGATTTAATGTTCGCCCAAATAGAGTGCGGGTGGTTAACGTCTTGACGGGGCTTTTGTCTGTTGCGCCGTACTTGGCTTTGACACGAGCAGAACTCATAGATTAAAAATTTAATTGGGTAATAATTGAACCTCGATTTTCATTCAGTCTGTGAACTAACTGAAAAGTACTTGAAATGTCAACCACATATTCGTTTGCACCAGCGTTACAAAGAACAGCTTTTATTTAATAACGATGTCCGTTGTTCTTTTAAAGACACAAATTAATTATTTCTTTTGTTAATTCACGTGTATTTGCTGAAATTGAATTGTTTGTTGGACGTTTAATAAAAGGATGTTTCTGTCGTCTGGAATTTTTTTTTGTTTCGGTCGATTTACGTCACAACCTGTGTCACAGACATGCTAATTAATGTCACTAAAGTCGTGTTCATGTCTACATAAACCTTATAAGTTTACTTAATTAAATCTATTGTTTATTTGCTAAATTTTCTCTGGTATAAAGTTTATCAGGAATGTCTAATGCATCTCTTTTTTAGTTGTTTATAACATTGAATATAATATATCCGGTGATTTTTAAATTTTTGCTCTAGTTGGACATGACGCTTACGTCAGCCGTTTCATTTACACTGCTGATGTAAGCGTTATGGTCAACTAGAGCAGAAACGTAAAAAATCACACGGGATAAATGTAGGTATATTTAAATACAAATGGCTCAATTTTATAGAAACACTTTTCGAATTCAGTACCACATTTTAGGTGAAAATAGGAAGGGTATGATTAAACAATGTTGTTCTTTAATTAAAAATAAAAGGGTAGTTAACTTTTTACCAAAGAGTTATTTTAAAACAAAAGAGAAACGCTCTTATTAGGCAAACCGTATATTACACACGATCACATTTGGGTAACATTAAATTTGTTGCTCTCTTTGCTCTATTTTATACGAAACGCTTATTATTTTAATCGCCTAAATTTCAATAATTTAAAATTACTGTAATTAATTATATCTGCTCTAAGATTCTGATTTATACGAGATTAGACTTTAATCTTCAATTAATCGTGGTGCAAAGTGTCGGGTGCAAAATATTCTACGCAGTGAAAAAGCTTTTTGAATATGTAAATATCGGGCGAGCAACATAAATTATACTCCAGCCATTTTTGGAACTCAAACCGTATGTCTTCTTTGAAATGACATGTTTAACTACGTCTAAAGCTACGTCCTGGAGAAGTTTTTAATTTTAATTGACGAACTGTGAACCTAATACCAGGTGATTAATTAAAAAAATATATATAAAATTTTAAGAAATTCACTTTGTTTTGATGAACTCACAATTTCACAAGATAAGCTGAATATGGGTTGCCTGCAGCTGAACTTAGAAAGCTAGGTTGTATTATGTCAACAAGAATTAAACCCTCGTTGAATTTAAAATTATTTATTTATGATTAGTACCTACCTAATTTAACTGAATCAACAATAACTACTGGAAGTGTTGGATCCCAGTTTCTACACATAAATTGACTTTTAGACTCATGCATGGCTTTTGGATCTTCAGTTGTATCTACTGATTGTTTAAAAATAGTGTTTTTCAAAGTCGACAACAAGAAATAATCTACAGGTGTCAAATTAGGTAATCGAGGTGGCCATTTTCTTATGATCTTTGGATAACAATTTCCGTAAGATGAAAATTTTGCTTGTGTGCTTCTGTTTTGGTTCACTTTGGAATATAGATATACCGGGTGTCAGTACGTTATGTACGGGGGTTTCGGAAGTCACAAAAAAATAATAAAAAAATTCTTTATGAAGTAGATTACAAAAAAACCTAATATAAAATAACCAAGAAAATTTCAAGAAATCCTTTCTTAAACGATGCCTCCAGTATAAAATAAACATTCTCTACAAATTTCAACTTCCTAGCATTAGCGGTTTGGGCTGGACGTTAATAGGTTAGTCGCGACATTGCCTTTTATAAAGGGTGTTTCGAAATAATTTTCATCTAGTTAGCTTTGAAATCGCTTCAACTCCTATCTTTCCCTTGATGAAAATTTGCAGCCATAGGCGACTAGATGAAAATAATTTTGAAACACGTTGTATATAGATAAACAAAAACAAAACTAATTAAAGAAAAATCCTTTAAAGTATAACCAACTAAACACTAGAGAAGATATTCAAAATTCCTGCCTTGTGCATACAAATAAGTGAGCTCGTAATGTTTCCAATCACTTTTTGTAAAACTTAGTCATCACTATTTGCTAAGATAAAACTGATGTCGGCAATGACATACCCCCCAAGAAAAGGGAGGGTGGGTGGGCGGGGCTAGCACCTGCTAAGAAAAAACTGATTTTGGCAAATAACATACCCTCTAAGAAAAGGGAGAGTGGGTGGGCGGGACTAGCACCTGCTAAGAAAATACTGATTTTGGCAAATGACATACCCTCTAAGAAAAGAGAGGGGCGGGGCTAATATCTGCTAAAATAAGGCTGATTTTGGCAAATGAGATTTCCCTAAGAAAATAGGAGGCGGGTGGGCGGGGCTAGTACCTGCTAAAATAAGAATGATTTTGGCAAATGATATACTCTATAAGAAAAGAAAGGGTGGTGGGCGCGGCTAGTACCTGCTAAGATAAAATTGATTTTTGTAAATAACATATCCTCAAAGAAATTAAAGGGTGGGTGGGTGGAGCTAGCACCTGCTAAGATAAGACTGATATTGGCCAATGACTCTCTAAGAAAATGAAGTGTGAGTGGACGAAGCTGGTACTTACTAAGATAAAACTGATTTTGCCAAATGACGTACCCTCTAGAAAATTAAGGATAGAGGGTATATCATTTGGTAAAATCACTCTTGCCTTGGCAAGTATTGGCCCCACCCACCCACCCTTTATTTTCTTCGGGGGTATGCCACTTGGCAGTATCAGTTTTATCTTAGCTAGTACTAGACTCGCCCACCCGCTCTTTATTTTCTTAGACAGTAGGTCATTTGCTAAAACCAATATTATTTTGGCACGTATTAGCATGTTAAAATTTTCCAAAAACATCCATCGGCTCCCAAATTAATACAGCATGGATATCCAAGAGGCTCCCGAAAAAAGAAACACTGCGGCACTCAGGACTTTTTGAAATTCATAAAAAATAAAACACCAACAGCTCGAAAAAATTTTTCAAGTTCATCCAGCAACAAAACACCAGATTCCTTTAAATTTTTCCGAAAATAAAACACCAGGCGATCTGAAATTACTACGAAAATTTTAACACAGAACACAGGGTTTGGAAAACTGTAACGATTTTTGATACGTCAAACATATTTAACTGCTCACTTCGCTTTATATCAGGCAAACATTGTAGTCAAATAGAATTTTATCAAATTATTACAAAAACAACACAACCACATCTTTGTACATTCTAACTTTGATTGTAGTTATGGGCGAGAGAAATATTAGCTAAAAGTTTTATTACTAGTTATTGTGATAATGCATGTGTTGTTCAGTTGTTAAACGTAGCAAAATAACCAATTTTAAAATCATCGTAACTCCACCAAAATGTGAAAAAGATTTGTTTTACTATTTTGCCCAGACTAACCAGTTGATTGTTAAGAGCGTAGCGGAGAGTTAAGCCGCCATTTTGCAGACACCCGGTATACTTAAAAGGGACTAATTTTTGTCGAAAACTGGAAAAGAATTTGCGAAGAAAATGAAAACAAAGCACAATTTACCTACTCTGTTAAACCGCGAGATTATAGGCAACCCACCACGACACAAGTTGCATGTGTCAAGTGACGACCTACGTAATTTGGCAACATAAGAGGCACCCAAAACTAGACCACAAATCAAAAATGTCAAACTGTATTTGATAAAAGCACCAGATGAGTTTTATTTTCCTTTAGTTTTAATTTAGCGTTAATTATATCAGACTTCTGACAACCCTTGTTTCTATTATCTAGCTGTGAATAAATAAAACCCCTTCTTTATTGAAAGCTGATTAAGGAGCTAATAGTAGGACTAGATCTATAAAAATTCCACCATGAACACAAACAATAATAACTTTCATCGATTTTCAATAAGCGAAAATCAGTAAACCACAGCATTCTAATAATTTAATACTCAATTCCCTATTTAACCGCAAGTTACTGCTTGCTGTTACAAGCGCTAAACTCAGCATTAACTTCTCATTTTTGTCCATAGAAATTAACTGAATCTGACCCAAAACGGACTCAGGTCCAAAAAGCAATCGAGGTTAAAAAAATAGCAACAAAATTATTACCACCATGATACGAATTTTTACTACTACAAGTATGAAAAGAACTTAAAAAAATAACTAGAACAATAAAATCGAACATAGAAACTGTACCGAGACCGCGATCCTCGAAATGTAAAATAAATAAAATCGTCTAGCACAGATCTAGTCCTTGTAGCCAATATTTGTATAAAATGAACAGTTGTAGAG